CCTCTCCCCACCCCTCGGGCCCCGCGCTCCGGGCCTCAGCGCCGGCCAGCACCGCCGGGCGCCCTCGCAATGGGGCCCGCCTGGCGCAGCGCCAACTCTTGGGGCACCCAAAGCGCCTGATCTCGAGATATTTCATGTCACATGAAATATCAAGTCATGACAGTGTGACTAACATCACTCATCTGCGCTGTGCTGACTCATCCGATGTACACCCCCAACCCCAGATCCCAATGGATGATGACATGCTTGTGCTGGATGAGGGCGCCAGCGACCCCAGGTGCGCGATCTGCCGCAATCTGGCGCGATCTGGCATGACCTGATGCGACACCATGGATCTTATCCGACACATCCGATGCAACAACTTCGGCACGAAAGATCTGGCACGTGGATCCGACGCAACCGGCTAGATCTGCCGCTCGGAAGCGGCGTGCCCGCCTGCCTGCCCCTGATCGCCAACAACAAATAATTCAGGCCCATTAAAAGCAAAGACTCCCCGGCCCCCCGCCCCCAAAACAAATCTTTCAAAGGCCCATCAAGATAAAGGACCTGGTGGCGGGCAAGAAGGTCGTGTTTTTCGGGCTACCCGGCGCATACACCTCAGTCTGCTCCTCTAAGCACGTGAGCGCTCGGCCCGGCCGGCCTCTGGCCTGTTGACTGAGAGCGAGTTGCAATAGTAGCACGGGGGCTGCAAATGTGGTGCAGGGGTCAAACGGGTGTGTGAGCCCCGCACCCGCCCCGCACGCGCTGGTGCGCACGCACAGCATGCACCTGTGCGCACCAGTCGCAACGAGAGGCCCCTCTGTTGGGTCGACTGTGGGTTTGGGCAGCTGCGGGCGGGGGTTTTAATTTGCCTAGGTTTTGAGTTTTGGGTTGAGGACGAAGATCCAAAACCCTAAACCCAGGCAAGATCCAGACGCGGTGGCCCTCCGCCTGCCCTGCGCGGCCGGCCCGGGTCCGGCAGGGGGAGTGCAAGATAGGGGGGAGGGGCGCGCGCGTCATCGCACCTTGGTCAAAATGCAGTGGTGACGCAGAGTTGATTTCGCGTTTTCCAAGGTTGGCTGGGGGCGGGGCGCTCGCCTGTGTCCCGTTGCCCCGGACGCCCGACCTTTGCAGCCCCGGCCTCTGTTCGGGGCTGGAAGCTCCAACAGCGGGGCGCCCAGGCGCGCAATTATCAAGGCTTGCTCAAAGCTGGCTGTGTGCGCGCGCCTTTCACAACGCAAACCTTTCGTATTGCGCGGCGCCCGAGCCAAGCGAGCAAGCAAGGCACGCGTGCCGGGAGCTCAGAGGACTCCCACGCACGCGTCCCCGGCGGCCTCGCCGGCTATCCGGCGGCCGGCCGGTCGCCGGCCACCGGGCGGCTGCTGCTCGCGCGATTTGGGTCCAGATGGCGGCCCCTTGATCCATTCCCCATTGCACGTGTGCTTTCATACATGCACAGGGGGGGGGTACACTTTGTTTATTGGAAAGCAGCCTCATGCAACAACATAACATGGCAGTGCAGATGAAATTTGGGAGCCAGTGGGTGCAGATCCACGCCCCCTCCAATTGAATCGCAAATCCCACCTCTTTTTGGGCCCGCCCATAGTAGCACCTGACCTCTCCCACCCCCGCCTCTCGCCCCCATGTCTGCCCCCAGGTGCCTCAGGTGGGCTTGAAACGCCGAACGGCCCCTGTTCCTGCGCCCGCGGGCCGCCCAAGAGCCGAAGGCTGCCGGCCGGCCAGGGGCGGCCGGCGGCCAGGGGCCGGGCTTGCTCTCGGACTTGGGCCGGCAGGGGGCAATACTGGGCGGCAAACGGCGCGGGCGGGGCCGCCTGCTCAAAATGATGCAGCTGGAATGATCAGAGCAGGCTGCTATCTTGTTGGCCAGGGTGCTGCTGGTCAGTCTGCGCATGGCCAGTCAACTGCTTGGCATCCCATGGTGGATTGACACAACGACACAGGGACCCTGGGCTTCAGATACAATGTACGCGAACACTAATCGCACGCACGGGCATGCGCGTCAGGCGCGCCCCGGGCCGACGTTTCGGTGTTTTGCAATACTTTCGCCCCGACCCGCCCCCGCTGTCGCCGCGCGAACCGGCGTTCGCTGCTCGCAGTACAACGAGCGGCTGGAGAAGCTGAAGGAAGCTGGCGTTGACACGGTGGCCTGCCTCAGCGTGAATGGTGCGTCGCTCGTTCACAAACAACGCGGGTACCCTGGACAGGCCCCCTGGCCAGGGGGCCTGCCTGCAAATGCCATGCCGCGAGGCAGGCGCTCCCCCCCTCTTCCAGAGAGGGCTGAAGGGACTGAAATTTGAAAAGGAACAGGATGGGTACAGAGCGCCCTGCGGGCACAAAGGGGGCCTGCTGAACGTGTGTCAGTGGGGCCCTTGTCGCCGAGGGACCACCAGGGGGGGGGAGGGGTGCGTGATAAAAGCACACGGCAGCGGCGTGCTTGCTGGGCGGCCCTGGGCGGCCCTGGGCGGCCCTGCGCGTGTGCTGCGGAAGCCGAAGCAGCGTATGCGGGATGCGACCCTACGCGGCGCACGCGCGGCGTGGACCACGGGCACTAAGCGCCGGCGCCTCCACCTTTGAAGCACTTATGCATCCGCTCCATCGCCCTCTGTCTCCCACCCCACCCGCCATATGTACACAATTGACCAAATCAACCGACAAACGGCAATCAACAACCGACAACAGACCCTTGGGTGATGCGCGAGTGAGTTGTCCAACGCCCTCGCCGCCCGCCCGCCGCACGCTCACCTTGCTGCCGCCACCGCCGCCGCCGTCTGGAAAGCGCCCCCAACTGCGCCCATCTGTCCGCTTGACCCCAGACAGCGCTGGGCCGGGCTCTGCTCATCTGCATCAACCCCTGTGCCCCTTTTCTCTACCCCTCCAGCTTCCTGCCAGCCACCTCAGCTCCGAACATCCTACACCCCTAAACCGTCGCCTCGATTCGAACCGCTTGTTGAATCCGTGCAGGTGGGCGCGCCAGCTGGGCGTGCCGGTCAACAGGGTGCTGATGCTGGCGGATGGAGAGGGCACCTACCACTGCAAACTTGGTGGGCAGCGCCAGATATTGAAATCTGATTCGAATCCAAGTCAAATCCGACGCGATCATGCGCCGCTCAACCCTGATGAGCTCGATTTGGGGCCGCGCCCCGGCGGGGTTGGCAGCAACTCGTCCCGGTTGCGCGCCGCCGGCTGTTGCATGCCTGCGCGCCGGCCCTGCTGCCATGCATGGGGTTGCACAGGACGCCGGGCTCGACTGCCTTTGATCATCAGTTTTTCCTACCTGCGCACGTGCACACTCCCTCGGCCAGGCCCCCTCGCGCCCTCCTCACACCTTTTCCCGGCCTCCGAGGCGCCCCAAAGCCCCTGATATACACCACAATTGCCATGCTTTCAAGATTACTGTTGCTGTTCGACCTCTTGGCTCCGCAGGCCTGCTGCAGCACACAACCCCGCCCTGGGGGTCGGCTAATTTTGTCTCTGGGCCCCCGGCCTGCCCGCACGCGCACTTCCATGCGCACGGCCCCTCTCCTCGCCCTTCTCCCAGCGCTCCATCTTCACCCGCCCAACGGTCTCAGCCACCACTGCGACTCGCAGCCCGCAGCTCCCAAGCAACTGACGAACCCGATGTTGCCCGGCCACCTGCCCCGCCCCCGCAGGCCTGCTGCAGCACATCCCTGGCCTGGGGGTGCGGTCCATGCGGTACAGCCTCATGGCGGACGACGGCGTGGTCAAGGTGCGCGTGAGTTAGGATTAGGATTAGAATTCGTATTGTTACAAGAGAGACGCGCGCGCTGGCAGGCGCAGGCTTGCAAACTCGCACGCGCATGCACGAGCGCGCACGCGCACGCGCACCCGCACGCGCACACGCACAAGCACAAGCACACGCATGCGTGCGCGCGAGCGCCCACACACACGTACATTACAAACGCACGTATGCATTCACACAAACACACACACACGCGCGCACACACACACACAAACACATACCCCTATCTTGCCACCAGCGCTTTGGTCGAACTCGCTGCCCCCGAGGCGACGCCTGCACACGTCGGGCCCCATAGCCAGGGCTGGCGCCCAATTTAGCGGCCCAGGCAGCTGACTCCTGCCAGTGCACACTCATCAACCCGTTGCCCCTGCCACCCACGCCGTGCGCCGCTCCTTTGACCGCAGATCCTCAACGTAAGCTCAGGGAGCAATCGGCAGCGGCAGCCTCGCCCGCGGGGGGCAAGGAGGGAGGGGAGCGATTTGGGCCTGCCAAGAACGGCCTGCCCCGCTGGGCGGACTCTGGGGGAGCGTGCCGCAGCGCTGCGGCGCTAGCGCCGCTGGCCGCCCTGCGCGATGCACATGCCGGAGCGCCGCCGGTTGCCTGCGGCGCGTTCAGCAAAAAATTCGGGGCCCCTGCGTGTGGGTACGGGGCTGCTGTGCGCTCGCCCATTGCACAGCGCGCCCCCTCCAGCTAACGCGCCGCCCGGACCCGCTTGTTGCATGCATGGAGCGTCCCGCCCCTTCATGCGCGCGCGCGCGTGCCCCCGCAAACCTTCCCTCGCAGGTGGAGGAGCCGGGCGGCAAGTCATACAAGGTATACAGGGGGCCATAGACTAGGCGTGGGGAGGAAGGAGAACAGGGCAGAGCTGAGCTGAGCTGAGCTGTTCCAACGCGATATTGGCAGCAAGTACAGCATGGCGCCCTCAGCAGTGTTTTGGGTGAAGAGCCTGCTAAGGGAACAAACCCCAGTCTGTCCGCTGCACGTGCTGTCGCCACTGCGACGCGGCGGCGGCTTGGCGCCTCGGGCAGTTTGGCGTCTCGTGTTAAACTTTGACCGACCCTCGATTTGGTGCGCTGCGAGACTGGGACGCTTGCGATGAGGGTCCCTCCTCCCGTTCAAACAGTCCCCCCCCTCCCCCACCTGATCCACTGCCATAATCGGCCTGACCGCCCGCATCGCCCCAACCGGCCCGGCGGCGCGCAGGTGTCGGGCCCAGATAACATGCTCAAGTGCATCTCGGAGCTCAAGGGCTGAGATGATGCAGGGCAGGGTTCCTACGGCGGCGATGAGCGTTGAGGCTGCTGATTTCTTGAGCTTTCTGAAGACGCAACACATGCTGGCATTGGCCGTGTGCACCCCCAGCCGAGGCGTGCCGCGGACTGCTCTCCCCCCGGCCGCGTGCCATTGCTGCTGGTGTTGGGGTGTCATCGGAGCGGTAGTAGAGCTCTCCTGGGTGTCGACAGCCTGTAAAATGACATCTTTGATGTGTGGAAAAGCCAAGGTACATGCCACTTCAGCCTGAGATGAAATGACACTGCGAGTTGCGAGTCGGCCAGCCAGGCTGCCTTGAGCGTCGCTGATGGTCATCTGTTCCGCGGTCCACCAGCAGGGTGGATTGGGCCGCATTGCAACCGCTTCTAGATTTCAACCACTCACAATGTGCATAAACAAACCCGCGGGAATGCGATCCGCGCTGATCGTATCGAATACACGCATTACTCACACGATACACCTTCACCCCGGTCATTCACACGCAGCAGGCCACTCTCAACCATTCTATACGTAATTTTCACACTTGCAGCTCGCAGTCCCCGCCTTTCTTCTTCGGTCTTTCTCCAGCACCTCGCAGCTGTCCCCGGACCAAACCCGGCATAGAAGGTCCGTGCTGATCACAGCCTTTGCGTGGAGCTTAGTCTAGGGATCGGGAAGCATGGAACACGCGCACGCGCACCAGCCTGTAAGGATGACGGCCTTGGGGAAGCCGGGCCCGCTTGGTGTCCGGGGCTGGTCGGGGCACGCAGATGGGATATGTGGTGCAATACTTGCATTTTGAAGCCTCTTGCGTGCCGTCGCAGCGCGAGGGCGTGGAAAATCTTTCCCGCGCTGTGATATTTCTCGACCACCGAGGCGCCATTGCCCTCGTCCCTCGATCCTTAGGCCAAGCGGCAGTCAGACTCCTTGCCGGCGCCCAGGACGAAGTACGGGCCCCTGCGCGCCAAGCTTCTCAAGCAGGTGCGCGCGCGTCCGCGACAGCGCGCATGGTGGTTGATGCCTCACCTCCGCGCAGAAGCGCAGGCTCGTCTGGAACGCCCGCCGCTCTGCCCCCGCATAGACCCGCGTGTAATCCCTTGGTCCCTTCCCACCAAGCTGCACACCTACTGGCTCTGCCCCAACATACCATCTGCACGTCCCCACCTTCCCTCCCCTCCCTCTCG